ACGGCCGCGCTCTGCCGATCAGCTGTTTGTCGGCAGATTGGGGCAGTCTGGACGTGCTGCTGTCGACAAAGAGCTGATCATCAGCTGGTCGGCAGAGCGTGGCAGCCATTTAAATTTAAATGAAGCCGCGATTATTTAAATCGCAGCTTCATTTCCCTCTGCCGATCAGCCTAATCTACATGGCTCCATCGACGGAGCCACGTAGTTTAGACACACCCTATGTGTGGGAGGGAGAAGAGGGGTGATGATGTCAGGGTGTCCTCCCTTTTCCCCACTTCTCTACCCCACCTCCACACACAGAGAAGGGGATGGAGGGAGCTTGGCGATACAGATATGCAGGGCTCGACAAATAATATAATCTACTCGCTTGTGGTGAGTAGATTATAACCAGGAAGAGCTGGTGCAGAGCGATCTGCGCATGCACAAAGCACAGAACCGCGTGACTGGCGAGCTGGGCTCGCCACTGGTTGGCGAGCCCTGCAAATCTGTCACACATACACTGTGTGTGTCTGTCATTCTCACAAACACACACACTCATGTGCCCACCCTGCACATACATGGGGGTTTGTTGTTACTTCTTTTACGGCTTGCAAGGTGGGTTATTTTTGGTTTTCGACTGGTCTGTGCATTTAATAGTTTTCATTTCTCTCTTGCACTTAAATTTAATTATTTGAGTAGTGAGTTTTAAAATGTCCGACCTGTCATGCCTGAAGTAATTATCCCCATGGTAATTGCTGCTCCTGGAAGAAGCTGGCAAATCCCTGCAGCCCCTGAGAAAGGTAAAGCTGGGAGTCTCCACATGCTGTCCTTGCCTGCATACACCACTCCTGCAGCTTCCCATTACAAACACCAATGGCTAACAGTTATTTAGTTCCACCCATATGCTCCTTATCTCAAGGTCCCTACCAGAGTCAGCATTCTATCCTTATCTCCGTATGGAGGCGAAGGCAGCATCTAATTACAGATCTCGCGTTGTCAGGCCACAGACTTAGCCTGACTCTTGCTCTCTTGCTTACAAGACCAAGATGGCTGCACACAAATTCCCTTATTCCCTTTTCCTGCCTCCATGCCCCGATGCATTAGAGCAGTGGTTCTCAAACTTTTTGGCCCATAGCCACCCTGCTCAACAGAGACCTTTCCACAGACCACCAGCAGTGGGAGATAGGATGTAGGAGCAGGTTGAGGATGGGGGATCTGTGAGGGAGAGGGGGTGGGTGCAGGAGCGGGATGGGAGTGCAGGATTTTGGTGGGAGCAGGGTGCATGATGGGGATGGGGGGCACTTATCTGGTTCTGTGCCTCCCACTGCTCCCAGGCACTGGCCCCCGCTGCCCCCATTGGCCATGATTTGAGCCAATAGGAGCAGCGGGGAAAGCCTTCATGGGAGCAGCTTCCTGTGCTGCTGTTCCCCCAGCCAGTGGGAAGGGGAGTGGCAGAATACAAAGCCACTTCCTCCTTCCACAAGCTGGATCCGACATGCAAGGCTCAATCCTCACCCCCCATAGCAGGAAGCTGGTGCTGGCACTCCAACCTTGTGGGGGTGGGGAGAGAATTGAGCACCAGCACAAGTTCCCCGCTGCAGGGGAGGGGCAAGCCCCAAGCCTGTGGCCCACCTGCAATGTAGTTGCAGACCACACTTTGAGAACCACTGCCCTAGAGGGAGAAGGTTCTGGAGATTGGGACCACTAAGATCCCTATTACCTCTAAAAATGTGTACAACCTTCTCTTCCTCTGCCTCCAATTCAGATAAAGAGCAACTCTGAAATTGCAGAGTTCAGCCCACCTACTGACTGAGATATAACTTGCTTTGGTTGGCCCAGCAGGGCTCCCGTCCCTCCAGATGTAGCTGCTTTGGTAGCTGCCCGGCCCAAGGCAGCCAGCCATTTTGCGAGCTCTCCAGCCTCGCTGTACAACACTGTGCCCCCATGCTCAGTGCCTGATGCCTGGGCCTCTTCTGCGTCTCTGGATTAGAACAGAGACTCTGTCTAGCTCCCCAACCTTTCTTCATCCAGCAGTAGGTTTGCCAATTTTCTACTCACAAACCTGAACATCCTTGCCCCACCTGTCCTCTGAGGCCCCGCCCCCGCTCACTGTGTTCCAACTCTCTCTCACTCACTCGCCTTGTACTCACTCACTCATTTTCACTGGACACTGGGGTGTTGGAAGTGGGAAGGGTTCTGTCTGGGGAGTGCAGGCTCTAGGCTGGGGCCAGAAATGAGAAGTTCAGTGCTGCAGGGGGCTCTGGGCTAACCCATGGGTTAGGATGAAAGAGGGGATGAGGGCTCTGGCTGGGGGTGTGGGATCTGGGATGGGGCAGAGAAGAGGGTTTGGAGTGCTGGAGGGGGCTCCAGACTTGGAGGTGGAGCCAAAGGGGTTGCAGTATGGGAGGGGGCTCTGGCCTGAGGCAAGGGTTTGGGAGGTGTGAGGGGGTACAGACTCTGGGCTGGGGTGTGGGCTCTGGGATGGGGCCATAAATAAGGGGTTCAAGATGTAGGAGGGGGCTCTGGGTTGGGATTGAGAGATTTGGAGGGTGGGAGGAGGGGCAAAGATGGGACAGAGTTGGGGCATAGGAGTAGGTGAGTGCTCTGGCTGAAGGTGAGGAGTTTGGGATGTAGGAGGATTCTCTGGGTTGGGACCAAGGGGTTTGAAGGCAGAAGGGGAATGGGGGTAGGGGTAAAGGGTTGGGGCACAAGAGGCGGCTCAGAGGTGAAAGCTTTGCGGGGCACTTACTTCATGCAGCTCCTGGAAGCAGCGGCATGTCCACCCCTTCCAACTTCTATTTGGAGGCATGGCTAGGCGGCTCTGTGTGCCATCCCATCTGCAGGCATCACTTCTACAGTTCACATTAGTCAGTTCCCAATCAATGGGAGCTGCAGAGCTGGTCACTGAGGCAGGGGCAGTGTATGGCATATAGGAGCCATAGGGGGGATGCACTTTCTCCCTATTACAGATTTCAAAGAAAGGTTTTACACAGAATTAAAGTTTCTTTATTTTGGAGTCTAGAAATTACTCCACTTAACTGA